AGAGTCGTATTTCCCAGGTTCCCCGGTGCCTCCTGCATCCCCTTTGCTGCTTTTCAGACCAGGGACATTGGCTTGACAGTTGCCACAGAAGTTCTAGAGCGTATAGAGACAACTTAACTCAGAGGTTCGCAAGACCTGTTTATGAAGCTGAGGTTTGATCTACTCGTCAGATGAGCAATTGTGAGGCTACTCTCCTTGCAGCGACTTGTCTGTCCAGTTTGAAAGATGGCTTTTTGAGGTAAACACTTGACAAGCCTAATCAGTAATCTTCGTTTATGATACTGGTGAACTTTTACTTAAAAACAAAACACCACACACACACACACATCTCTGATGCCATTTCAAAGGAAAATCCCAAATAAATAGTGAGGGTGGGGAATGTAATTTGATGACACAATCTGAATTTTAACTGTTTAGCACGTTTAGAAAGGGAAGCTGTGTGGAAGTTTGGGTTAGGCAGCAAGATCAAAGAGTCTATCAAAGTCATAGCCCAGGTCTGTGGAGTTCCAATGGGAAGAAAAGGGAGGGAGGAAAAATTTCTGATTGGAAAGCAGAGTGAGTCGGGGACACACCCCAGGGTCTGCTGACGTTTGTCACTGGAGGCACTCTTGGGAAGAACAGGAACTTGAGAGCTTTGGACTTGACCCAGGGTCAAATCCAAGAGGACATGGGAGACCTCAGTTGTAACACTGTTTGGCTGACTTCACAAGCTTCAGGAGATCTGCAAAGGCTCGGTTCTAAGTGTCTACACTCCTAAGACAAACCAAAGTCTTATCATGTAGCTGGGGAAAATGTCTGTGAAAAGCTTGTTTTAAAACAAAATATTGGAATAAAAATATGACCAGGAAAGACTAAGGACCACTGATGGAGGACACAGGTGACAGAGTGGGACAAAAGGAACTCCTGTTTTTCATTCTTTTCAGTAGTGGGAAGAATCATTGAACAGAAAAAGGAATGGAGATTTGCCGTTGATGATAAGACAGTGATAGAGTAAAGTCATTCATAACCAATATTTTTGACCCAGTAAATATCTGGTTCCCAGAAATTTATTTTTTAGCACATAACTTGGTGTGATGCTGAGAAGATTCTAAGCCAATTTGCCTCAGATATGCTGGATTAAGCTCTGCAATGGTCCTTTCTAGGGTCCAAATATGTTAAAAGATACCAGAATCATGTATATAGCTGATCAAACAATTACATAACCTCGATCATTTCATGGGGCTGACACATTGATAGAAGAATTTAAAAACACACAAAAAAATCATAGAACCACCATGCAGGGAAGAAGGTGGGCCTCAAGAGAATCAAGAGAGTCTCCATATTTCAAAATGTATGAAAAAGGTGAAACATATATAATCAGCATATATAATATATATCAGTATATCTATTGTATACTGATTTCAGAAACATTTTCAGATAGAGGATTCCACTAATGATTTTAGCAAAATAGTAAAATAGGAAAAAAATTTTAAAAATGATAAAAAAAAATGACAACTGTTTTAACTCAACAGAAACTTCTTAGATCATTTGATCATGGTCTCATTTTCTTCAGTTAGATAAAGCAAGGGAAACTGATTTTAATACAGGTTCTTGAAATAATGACTCAGTATTATTTTATAGAAATGATTAAGATGCATTGATCATTAGCCGATGCCCAGTCTCACTCTAAGAGGACCTGGCACCCAGGTTAACCTAGAGGGCTGGGAGGGATGGTTTGCTTTTCGCATGCTGGCAGCTTGCAAAAGGCTCAAGACAGGGAGCTTGAGTTAGTGGGCTGGGTTACAGGGTCAGGATTTAACATGATGTTACTAAATTGCATTCACAGGTCAATCTCTAAACCAATTCTTCAATTTGGGGTTTGGTTGGGGCTACTTGTTTCCCCCTTCTTCTGTTGAATAAAGCTCTTTGGGATCACCTGCCACACTTCCCTGTCGGCTTTCCACCAGTCCACTCTTTTGTGCGTCAGGCCCTGACTGAGCTGATTCTGGGATTGGAAGAGTAGTGTGACGTGTCAGAGGAGGCTTCCCTGGCAAGACTGCCATTCTCTCACACCTCTGAGACCCCCGAGGGCCTGGTTCTTCCCTTAGCAGAGTCCACTAAGGATGTTGTCTGTTCTGTGAGCCATCCTATATTCTGTCAGAACATTCAGTTCTGGTTAAGTATACAAATTTCTCATCCTTCAAGAATTCAAGTATCTGCTTCCTACAATCTTCTCATTTCTAACATTATCGCTGTTTCAAAGAATCCGAGGCTTAATAACCAAGGACATGTATTTCTATGTCAACCTCACACTTTTTAGTTATGTGCCTGGGCAAATTACTTAGCCACTTGGGACTTCAAGTATCTTCAATGAATGAGAATTGCACTCCAGACCGAGCTCGTAACATTTTGGTAAAGACTAAATGTGAAAGAAATCAGTAAGGTGGCACTGACTGGCATATAATTAGAATTCAATAGGAGAGCTCTCTGAAACCCTCACAAATAATCTGTATTATAAGAAAATGCTGCTTTTTTGAGTTCCTAATAACACCTCTAAAAAGTCTTGATATTAATACTTATATTTACATATTTTTTTCTTGAAAGTAGACCTTGTCTTTTGATGGATTCAATGCTACAACTCTTCATGTTTACATGTAAGTCATTAGGCAAATCATTAGAATAAGCACCAGTTGTATAAGTGAAATTACCTGTAAAGTGTGAGTGGTGTGTGAATGCAAACACGTTCTGTTCACCCAAATATAGGAAATTTCAGAGTAAAATGAAGGGCTACATTTTCATTTGGGTTCACATGCTCTTACTAGACTGCACAGAGACTACATATACATAGGATATTATCAGATCCCTCACTCTTACTGAGAAAACATAGCAAAGAATTTAAGAAAAAATGGTAGTCATAGTGTGTGTGTGTGTGAGTGTGTGTGTGTGTGTGTGTGTGTGTGAGTGTGTGTGTGTGTGAGTGTGTGTGTGAGTGTGTTTCTGCACAGTTAAGGCTGGACTGTAACTTGTCCTCCTGTTTCAACCTCTGAAAGGCTAGAATTTCAGGTGTGTGACACCAGGTTTAGGCCAAGCTACCTCATGGAATAGATAATCAGTAGTGATAATTTTTGTTTAGCAGGGTGACAGATGTTAGGGTGATTGTTGGCTTTGGAATTTTATAGCTCATTTTGTAGACTTCCATGATATAAAAACTCAGTCTGTAAGCTAGTGGCACTGATTTTTATCTGGAGACTGACCAGAGATGACAGGGTGGCAGACAAGCTTCAGGGCAGTGAGCCAGAGAGGGTAAGAGACAGGAAGAGAAAGCTATTGCTGCAGAGGAGGCAGGGTCTACTGAAAGGTATCGAGGATGCCACCCTTCCTGCATTTCCTCTCAATCCTGCCTTCCCCCATCTCCATCTCTACAATGTGAGAGCCAGAAGGAAGGGAGAGGTAAGATTGGTGTAAATGCTGCAAGTTATAACAAGGCATATGTGTTTTTCTGTCTTAAATATTGGCTAACATTAGAATTTGAATCGTTTTATTGGGCTGAGCAGTTCGTTAATTCTATCTTGGGTAGGAAGTTCCTTTTCTACACACCAATGTGTACTTCTTTTATAGCAAAAGAATACCTTCAGCAAGGCGCCAATGTCTCCCAAGAGAGGAAGTGCGATCTGTAGTTGAGAGAGAGAAACCCAAATCCATGGATATTCACATAAACATGAACACAATAAACATGAACAGAGAAGTGGATGAATGTATTTTTTTTTCTTAAAGTGCCATGCTAATTGAAATTTGGGGAGGGTGAGTCTCACCATCAGACCCACTCGCTTAGCTTTATGCTCCATGGTGTGAAACTTACACACAGTACTGGTAGAGCCAGAATATTAGAGTATTCACTGTTCCTTCACCAAGATCATGCAAGTTCCTATGTATCCTTGTTCTGATCATACACCTGGATTTTGGAGTTTCATGACATGGTAACCGTTATGATTTCCCTGTGTTGTTGGTTTTAAGTAATATAATGTATTATTTAATCATTTGTTAAAAGGAAATCCTTTTTTTACTAAGCGCATTATCAGGCTGCTGAGAAATATGAAGATTGTATGGTGAGTCTGCCTTAAAATTAGCTCTTATAAAAGTTTTAAAGATACTTCAGCGAGGGACAAGACAGACACCTGGGGGAACGTGAGCTGTGTTTGGGCCACAGGTCCTGAAATGTCCTTTCAAAGAAACACTGTGTAAGCCGGAGTGACAGTCGACAGGATTTGAGACGAGGGGCACAGTGAAAAGTGATGGACTTAAAGGCTGGATAATGCTGCCGCATGCAGCTTCTAAAGGCTCAAAGACACAAGCCGTGTGGGAGGTGAGAGGGACTGGGAAGCCCCAGCGAGGGGCCAGCTTTGGATTTTATTATACACAACTCTTAATACAATGCCATGTGCCATATGGCCTCTCAAAAATATAAGTGTTGGAGCTGAGGCTATTTAAAGGGATTGACTGCCACTCATAGCAAGGTTTGACCTGAAATAACACTATGTAACACACGGTGAGCATCTAAATGCATTTTCTGAGATTTTTCAATCCGATTTTCATAATTTAATCATCTCATCTGTTCAGAGGCACTCAATCCATGGATATGCACCACATTGGAGGTAACTTACCTGCAAACTTTCATTTGGAAAAATGAAATTCATTTACTCACTAGCATTAGAAGGACAAGAAATGTGGCTATCTGTTTTATCTCAATTTTCCATGGAACAAAGACATTAAATGCTAAGGTTCAGCCTGGGGCAAAATTGTACAGCTGAATTATGCCCTTAGGAAATAAGTATTCATCACACACACACAATAATGCTGACCCAGCCTGAATTTTTCCCCCTCTACAAAATAATGGGGATAAACAAAATCACCAAGCAGTCACCGAGCATTGTAATTAGTTTGGACAGCAAAATTTGCTTGGTAGGCTGTTTGGCTTCTGGGTGCATTAAAGACACATAAATCAGGCAAAGACCATCTACATACCGGGTCACCTGGGGGGCCTGGGAGGCCTGGTTTTCCATCTCTCCCTGGAGATCCCTAAAAACAGAAGCCACTTATTCAAACCTCTGCAAGTTAGAGCAGATTAAAAGGGACATGGAATGGGAGTTGGGGAAAGGTCCTTACGTCATTCCCTGGGGTCCCCGGAGTTCCTGGCAATCCAGGTAGACCTCGAGGACCCTAGAAAAATGAAGAAAAAAATGTTGTTTAGGATAGTCTTTTGAGTGATTTCTGGCAATCAAGAAAACTAAACTTATTTTGTGAGTGATTTAGTGACGTCACTTACCTGAATACCTGGCTCTCCTGCTGGTCCTTGGGAGCCCTGGGTAAAAAGAGAGAGAATTTTCCAGATTCTACCAGAGATGTTTATAAATGCCCCTTTGTTCACTTAGCAGAAAGACAGGGCTGGACACTTGCACGGTTTTGAAAGCCCTGCCCATGGTTTCTGGAAAGCTCACCACGACCTCAAGCAGTAGTTGAAGAACCAGATATTCAAGGCTAGAAGTACAAGACTTTGCTCACACACTTGGGTGTTTCTTTCACTCCACTCTGTTGTTGCACACTCAGAAGTGTGCAAGCAATGTGTCCAAATCCTGTCAGACCAGAAACCAACTGCCCATGGGGCTCAGAGGCCTGGGCCTCCTTCCATTTCTTCCTTGACTAATTTTCCTCTTATTCATTTGTTTATCAATTATTTTTTATTTATTTTTTTAATTGAAAGTAGATTCTCCTCTTATACAACACGTTCTGACCACAGTCTCCTCTCCCTCCACTCCTCCCAGCTCCCCCTCATCTCTTCTCTCCCTCAGATCCACTCCCCCTCGCTTCTTCTTCAGAAAAGAGCAGGCCTCTACGACACAACAACCAAACAAGATATAAAAAGACAAGGTAAAATCCCTCAGATTGAGGCTGAACAGGGTGATCCAGCAGGAGGAAAAGAGTCCCGAGAACAAGCAAAAGAGTCAGAGACAACCCGGTTCCCACAGTAGGAGTCCCACAGAAACACCAAGCTAACAGCCGGTTCAGACACATGTAGGCCCTCCTTTTCCTCTTAAGAAACAGCAGGCTTCCACTAGTGTGGCCGGTGCCTGTGGTGTGGCACCTTGCGCAGCCTTGGTGCAGTGGGGAGGGGCTTGGACCTGCCTAGGCTCAGTGTGCCAGGCTCTGCTGGCTCCCCTTGGGAGACCTTGATTTGGGGGAGGTGGGGTAATTTGGGAGAGAGGGCTGGGGGGTGGGAGGAGGAAGGAGGTAGGATCTGTGGGTGGTATGTCGAGTGAGTAGAAATTTTCTTAATAAGGAAAAATGAAAAAAAAAAAAAAAAGAAGAAGAAAGAAAGAAACAGCAGGCCCGAGTGTTTAGTGGTGGGAGTAGATGGCTAACTAGCAGTACAGGGGTTATTTTCTACGTCTTGAATGCTGTGGTTTGGAATAACTCAAGTGAGGATGAAGTTAACTAAGAACCCAATGACATTCATTGGTTTATGGATTATGTATATGGATTATGTATATCTTTGGGGCATTGAATTTGTGGTGGTGCATGCCTTTAATTTTAGCACTTGGGAATCAGAGGCAGGCAGATCTCTGCAAGTTCTAGAGCAGCCTGTTGTACATAGTGAGTGTTAAGCCAGCTAGGACTACATGACAAGACCCCATCTTTAAAATTTTCTTTTAAGCAGTTGGCACCAGCATTTGCTGGGTTATCTTTCTTATTTAAAAAATATGCGTAATATTGCTATTATCAGAGCCTTTTGTTGCCTTTTTATTGTGCCCCTAAGTGGTATTTTTCCCTATAAACTTGTTACCTCTTTAGTGAGTAATTGATATAATGTTTTATTATCTTTTAAAAGCAGTGAGTAAAGCAATGGGTTCCATTATGGCATTTTTAAAACACATGTTGCTCTTATGGGGTTCTCTCCCTCAATGCACTCTCCTGGCCTGTTTTCTTCTTGGTGGTCTCCATCCTCACCACAAGACACGCCTTCGACTTTCCTGTCAGATGTATTTCATTATTCTTTTTTTCTTCTCCTGCCATGGTTCCATTTCTACTTATGTGACTTACACACACACACACACACACACACACAGCTCCACATGGACTGTTTGTCTTTCTGAGTCTGAATTATTTCACTTAATAGCATGATTCCCAGTTTAATCTATTTTTCTGCAAATGTCACAATTTCCTTTTCCTTGATGGGATGAATAAAATTCCTTGTGTATACACACCACATTTTCTTCATCTGCTGAGAAACCCTCCTGGCTGGTTCTATCTCTTAGCTATTGTGAACAGCTAAATGTGAATGTGCAAGTCTCTTTGTGGTATACTGAGTTAGAATGTTTCTGGTGTATATCCAACAGTAGTATAGCTGGGCCATGTGATTGTTCTATTTTTAGCTTTTGAGAGACCTCCTAGTGATTTCTGTAGACCTTGTAGTAGTTTACATCCACACCAGTAGTAGATAAGAATTACCACTTTCCTCATAGTGGTACCAATATTTGGCTTTTGTTATAATGATAGCTTTTTGTCTGGCATAAGATAGAATCTGAAAGGTTTTTTTAATGTTTATTTTATTATTTGAAGTGTGTGTGTGTGTGTGTGTGTGTGTGTGTGTGTGTGTGTGTGTGTGTGATGCATGTGTACATGCAGGGGAGTCTCGGTGTTGGATCCCCCGGAGCTGGAGTTACAGGATGTTGTGGGTTACCTGATATGGGTGCTGAGAACTCACTTCCTTGGGAAGATCATACAGTTCCAGCTCTGAACTGATGAGTCATCACCCCAGACCCAAATGCAGCTTTCAGTTGTATTTCCTTGATGGATAGGGATGTTATCCAATTTAAAAGCTATTTTTTGGCTATTGTATTTCTTCTGTTAAGAACTATTTAGTTCATTAGCCCATTATTGATGGAAAGAGTTAAAGGATTTTATTTATTTATTTATTTACTTATATTTATTTTGGGCTTTAATTCTTGTATGAAATACTTAGCACAAGGATACCATC